AAAAAGATGGGAACCCCCGGGACCCCGGCCGTGGGGGGGGGTGCCCATGGGGGGGGCCTTCACCCCAGGAGCCCCGGTGGGCCCCCGGTCTCCCTGGCTGCCCCCTCCGCAGGGGTGGGGGCCCTGGGGCCGCCCTGAGAAGGGGGGCTTCCCTCCCCCCTCCCACTTCCCAGGACCCCGCCCCCGGCCCCGGGACAACCTGCCCAGCCCCTCCCCGCCCCGGGTGCAAGTTTCGGGAAGCGGCAGGGCTGTGGCGCCTGCCTAGACCCGTGTGTGCGGGGCCCCGGCTCTCAGCCAGCTCAGCAGGGACGCCTGGCCCGCTTTCTGCTCCTAACCCGCTTGCCAACCATGGCCAGGCCTGTGGAAGCCTCGTTTGTCCGGAGTGTGGGGTCCTGGGGGAGGAGACGGGCGGGGTCCCCCAGTTCAGGGGCCTGGGGGGGGGGCACATCTGGCAGGAACACCAGGGGCCTCAAGGAAGAGGAGAGGCTTAAACAGAGTCTCGGGCGGACCCGGGCCGGAGAGAGCATTCCATGTGGCTGTTCTGAACACGAGAAGGGAGAGCCGGCACCAGGGGCTGCCAGGCCACTGAGCGGAGCGCAGGAGAGCGGGAGGGGCGGTCCGGCTGGGCACCTCGGCCTGACCCTGCAGTGGCCACAGGCTGACCCTGTAGTGGCCCAGCCTGACCCTGCAGTGGCCACAGGCTGACCCTGCAATGGCCACAGCCTGACCCTGCAGTGGCCACAGGCTGACCCTGCAGTGGCCACAGGCTGACCCTGCAGTGGCCACAGCCTGACCTTGCAGTGGCCACAGGCAGACCCTGCAATGGCCGCAGGCTGACCCTGCAGTGGCCACAGGCTGACCCTGCAGTGGCCGCAGGCTGACCTTGCAGTGGCCACAGGCTGACCCTGCAGTGGCCACAGGCTGACCCTGCAGTGGCCGCAGGCTGACCCTGCAGTGGCCACAGCCTGACCTTGCAGTGGCCACAGGCAGACCCTGCAATGGCCGCAGGCTGACCCTGCAGTGGCCACAGGCTGACCCTGCAGTGGCCCAGCCTGACCCTGCAGTGGCCACAGGCTGACCCTGCAGTGGCCACAGCCTGACCCTGCAGTGGCCACAGGCTGACCCTGCAGTGGCCACAGCCTGACCTTGCAGTGGCCACAGGCAGACCCTGCAATGGCCGCAGGCTGACCCTGCAGTGGCCACAGGCTGACCCTGCAGTGGCCACAGGCTGACCCTGCAGTGGCCGCAGGCTGACCCTGCAGTAGCCGCAGGCTGACCAGCCACTAGGGACAGAGGCGTCCTGACAATCCCTCTGGCTTCAGGGAGGACAAGCAGAGGGCCCGGGCCCTGAGGCTCACGGGCGGGGCTGCACCTCCGCTGTCATTTCTCGAGAGACAGTGGAGCCCACGTTCCCCCCTTCCCCGCTCACAGGTCTCTCTCCGGGTCTTGGATCTCGGCACAGAAATGTGCAAGGCAGCCACTCAGGAAGCCCTGGCCTTTCCCGCCCTCTCCCTTCGCAGCGGCTCCTCCTGGCTGTCCCACCGCCCTGCGCAGGGCACGCCGTCCCAGGGGCAGGGCAGCCTCGGCCGGCAGCACTGGGCCCAGTCACCGTTGTCCGGGGTGTGCCTGGGGAGTTTAGGAACAACACACCCAAAGGCCTGAGCTGCGGCCCCGCCCGCGGGCAGCCAGGCACAGGGCGTGGACTTCGGCCGCTGAGCCCTGAGGAGGCCCCTGGCCGGACCCAGGCTGGCAGTGGGTGACACAGGTTAGGGCTACTCGGTCCTGAACGAACCTGAGCAGGTGAAAGTCCCTCGGCCGAGCCCACAGGAGGGTCTGACACAGAGCCTTTTCTCCCTGGAAAGCTGCTGTTTATTTTAATGCATTGATGTGAGAGAAAGAGGGAGAGAGAATTGTTGTTCCACTTAGTTATGCTCATTGGCTGAGACTTGTATGTGCGCCGACGGGGAATCAAACCTGCAACCTGGGCGCACTGGACGCTGCTCCCACCACCTGCGCACGCGGCCAGGGCGAACGCTGCTGTTTAACCGCCTGGCCCGTGCGCACAGTCACCTGGGCCCAAGGTTTCCTGGGGGGGGGGGGGGGGGGGAGGGGGGCCTCTTTTTTTTGAACCCTCGGAAAAACGCTCCGGGGGGAGGGGGGCCCCGGCCCCAACA